CACCGCTGCGGCGTGCAGCCCTATCCCAAAGATATCCTCACAACACAGACCCTCGGCCTTACTCAGTCAAAATCACACAAGCCTCTCGTGCAACAGTAAAACAATATTTCTCAGCCCAAAACATCATTTAAAAATCATTTGAGTATTAAAACAGAGTAAACATGGCTGAGTTTTGAAAACAGTGAAAACAACATGACTGAGTTCAAGTATAAAGTCAATACAGTGAGGAAACATCAACAACAACCCCCGAAGGGTTCAAATAATTGGCACGGAGCCCAAATATGGCATTCAGCCCAAATAATGATGATAGCAAATAGATTTCAATCAAATACGCGGTAAAATCATCAATCGGGACGGACCAAGTCACAATCCCCAATAGTGCACGACCCCACGCTCTCCATTAAGCGTGTGCCTCACCTTAATATAGCACTCGATGTGCAATCTGGGGTTTCAAACCCTCAGAACATCATTTACAACCATTACTCACCTCGAACCGGCTACATCTCTAGCTCGCGACGCCTTTGCCACTCGAATCGGCCTCCACGCGCGTCGAATCTATCCAAAATCAGAACGAGGACGTCAAAATATGCCAAGGGAACAAAGCCCAAGCGAAAACAATCAATAACGGGCACTAATCCCGAAATTAGCAAAACCCGAGCCCCGGGCCCGCTTCTCGAAACTCAGAAAATTTCACATCAATAGATTCTTCGTCTGCCCACGAGTTCATACATATCAAAAATACTAAAATCGGAGTCCAAATGACCCCTCAAATCCCCATTTAAAGGCCTCTTAAACTCAAGCCCTAATCCTCCATTTTTGCCCTTTAATTCCTTAAATTACAGCCCTAAATTCATGAAATACAACCATTGAATTGAGTTTTAGGTCCAAAATTCCTTACCTTAATGAAGTCTCTTGATTTCTCTCTTCAGAATCGCCCAAAAAGCTCCAAGGTCGAAGGCAACAATGGTGAAATAACCCAAAATTGCGAAATGAAATAACATATATGGTCTGCCCAGGCCTTTTCGCATCTGCGGTCCAAAACCCGCTTCTGCGGTACCGCATTTGTGGTCTAAACCTCCGCTTCTACGTAATCACTTAAGGGACCAAAAATCCGCTTCTGCGACTAAACTCCCGCATCTGCGACATCGCAGATGCGGTCAACATACCGCTTCTGCGGTCTCTGCCCATCTGCCCCTTTTTCGCTTCTGCGATAAATCACCCGCTTCTGCGGTGCTGCATCTACAGTCCCCAATCCGCAGATGCGAAAATACCAGAAGCAGCAAGATCAGTTGCTGCAACAAATCTCCAATCTCTCCGTTGACCACCCGAAATCACCCCGAGGCCCCCGGGACCTCAACCAAAAGCACAAACATAACCCAATACCTTATTCAAACTTGTTCCAATCATCAAAACACCTCAATTAACATCAATTCACCCAAAACACATCGGATTCAAGCTTAAGTTTCTAAAAATCTTCCGAAATACGCTTTTGATAAAAAACCCAACCAAACCACGTCCGAATGACCTGAAATTTTGCACACACATCCCAAATGACATAATGAAGCTACTGCAACTCTCGGAATTTCATTCCGACCTCTATATCAAAATCTCACCTATCAACCGGAAAACGCCGAAATCTTAATTTAGTCAATTCCAGCCTAAACCTTCCACGGACTTCCAAAATGCATTTCGATCACGCTCCTAAGTCCCAAATCACCTAACGGAGCTAACCAAATCATAAAATTTCCGATCTGAGATCATATACAAACAAGTCAAATCTGGGTCAAACCTTTTAAATTTCAAGTTTCAAACTGAGAACTGTTCTTCCAAATTCATTCCGATTACCCTGAAAACCAAAACCAACAATTTGCATAAGTTGTAATACATCAGAAGGGGCAAGCCATACCCGAGAACTGGCAATCAAAGTGTAAAAACTCAAAACGACCGGTCGGGTCACCCACTCTTGAGTGTGATTGTGCCAAAACAAAGGAGTTTATTATTCATCTACGAAAGCAAAAGGTGTATCAATTTCTAATGGTCTTGAATGATTCTTATTCTCAAGGTCGTAGTCAAATACTAATGATGAAGCCATTACCTTCAGTAAATCAAGCATATGCTATGCTTATGAGTGATGAAAGCCAATGGGTTGTAGCTGCTTCTGCTGGTATTTTAGGATCCTCACCAGGTGTAATTGCCACTCATTCTTATGAGTCAACTGCTCTATATAGTGCTAAACCTAGTTTTAATCCAAAATTTAAGAAGAACTACAATGTTCAGTGTGATTTCTGCAAAATGAAGGGTCATAGCAAAGAGAACTGCTACAAAATAATAGGTTATCCATCAGATCATAAATTCAAAAAGAAAAGGGGAACTGGGGCCTATAATGCAGTGATTGAGTCTGGATACACTATGCCTATGTATTCCAATAATGCTCCACACCAGGTTCCTCAGCAATCATCAATGCCTATATATCAAAAGCCTCAAGAAATCATGAATCAAGGAGTGGAGTATACTCCTATAGTGAATCATACACAGATTCATTCTAGCACTCAAGCTCTAGCAGGATCCTCCTCTATGCACGCAGAAAGACCTTACACAGATTCCTCTCCACAGGCTCAAGGAAGTGGATTTTCTTTCACTAAAGATCAATATGATCAGATAATGCAGATTTTGAAAAATTCAAATACTAATTCCTCTGCTCAAGCAAATGTGGAAGGTACTAGCACTACTCTCTTAGCATCTACTACTCCACACGAGTGGATTATTGATATTGGAGCAACTAATCATATGGTGTCAGATGCTAATTTGCTTACTAGACATCTATAGCTACTCCTTCTAAGCCTAGGACAGTCTTGTTACCTAATGGAGAGGTCACCCCAGTAACACACACTGGTGATAGCAATATTTCAGACAAAAGTACACTTAAAGATGTATTCTATGTTCCTCAGTTCAAGTTCAACTTATTATCAGTCTCCAAAGTGACAAGAGACCTAAAATGCTTTGCTTCCTTTTATCCTGACTTTTGTGTCTTTCAGGATCTCTTCAGTGGCGGGGCGAGGAATATTGGTAGAGAAAGAGACGGTCTATACTTTCTACAGAGATATGGTGGGAAGAGGCTCACAGCAGTATCGTTAGCTGCTGTTGGAATAAGGACAAGGCAGGGTGACACTACAATTGATATTGCCTTGTGGCATAAAAGACTAGGGCATGTATCTAGCATTGTTCTTAGGAAATTGTTTGGTGCCAAACTAGCTAGCATTACTGATACTATCAATAAGTGCAGTGTCTGTCCTTGTGCTAGACAAACCAGACTGCCATTTCCTTCCAGTAGTATTAAGACTATTTCTGCATTTGATCTACTACATCTTGATGTTTGGGTCCATATAACTGTGCAACTTTTTTTTTAGATGGAATATAACTGTGCAACTTATGATGGTAATAGATACTTTCTGACAGTTGTTGATGACTTTACCAGGATGCCTTGGATTTTTTTACTGAAGCTTAAATATGATGTATGTGTGGTGCTTACTCATTTTATTATTGTCATTCAAACTCAGTTTAACAAGGTTGTAAAGGCAGTCAAGTCAGACAATGGCTCTGAGTTTGTCAACTCTACCTGTACCTCTTTGTTTCAGAAATATGGTATCATTCATCAAAGAACATGTGCCTATACTCCTCAGCAAAATGGAGTTGCTGAGAGAAAGTACAGGCACATCCTAGAAGTCACTCAAGCCTTAAGGTTTCAGGCTCATATTCCTATCAATTACTGGGGGCATTGTGTACTTGCAGCAGTGTATCTCAAAAATAGGATGCCACCTTCTGTTCTTCACGGTCTTTCTCCTTTTGAACTATTGTATGGGAAATCACCTAACTTGAGTCCTTTAAGAATTCTTGGATGTTTGTGCTATGCTAAACAAGTTCATGAAACAGAGAAACTTCTACCAAGGGCAAAGCCAGCTGTTCTCATGGATTTTTCTGATACTTAGAAGGCCTATATCCTTTTGGATCTCACCTCTCAGTGTTTCTTCATCAATAGGGATGTATCCTTTAGGGAAGATGTATTTCCCTTCAAAGACATCATAGATGCATCACCACTATTATTCCTGGCTCCTGAAGTGCCCATTTCTAGTGAAGAGCAGCAACCTTCACTTCCTCCTATTGTTGCCAGACATAAGCCTACTGCTTCTCCTTCTTTGCCTCAGTTTGTGACAGATGTGTTACCTTCTATTCCTTCTCCTATATTTCAGCCTAAAACAGATGGTCTGAGGAGATCCTTAAGGATAAGTCAGGTGAAAGACTTTGTGTCAAAACCTGGACACAAACCTCCTCCCTATACCATTGCTAACCATGTGTCCTATGATAGAATTTCTCCCAAATATCAAGCTTATTTGACAACCTTCTCTGCCATACAAGAACCTACTTCTTTTGAGCAAGCTTCCCAAGATCCTAGGTGGGTTGAAGCTATGCAAGTTGAGATTGATGCACTAGAATCCAATCACACCTGGGATGTGGTGTTCCTACCTGAAGGCAAGGTCCCTATTGGTTGTAAGTGGATATATAAAGCAAAGTACACACTACTGCAAAAAAGGATTCTAGCAGCAATAAATATTCGCTTTAGCGGCAATAATAATGGCTGCAAAACCTTTTATCAGCAATTAATTATTTGTCGCTGTAGCCAGCGTCGCTAAAAGCTTCACCAGCAATTATATAGACTGTTGGTAAAGATCTCAGTTATTGCCGCTAAAAAGATCTAATTTTTAGTAGCAATTACAACACCCACTAAAAGTGCCCCTGAATCAGCCTTTTTGTATGGTTCTAATGGCTTTTGTTATGGCCGGTAATTATCTATTTTATTGCCGATAAAAAAAAGTTTAAGGATCATTATGATGGTATCAAAATGTCAGGAAACATTATACCTATTTTTCATTTAAAAGGTGATGCCAACATCATCAAGATGCTTCTTAGTGAAAATATTCACAACTAAATAATATCATAAAACTTTTCTGATAATACAGGCTAATTTTCATTCTAAAAGACAATATATTTCTTAACTTTTGCCTTGATATTTCAAGAGTGTTAACAACATAAAAGAAAAAATACATCATTTGAATTCGAAAGCTAGTATCAGTTTGAGTCAAATAACTACTATTATCAGATATCCATAATCCAAGACAGTAGCTAGCCTATTAACGTTTCTCCAACACTCGGTTTATGTAAATCTTGATCACAATGATGTCCTCCTATGCTGAACTTCTTTTGCTTGTCTTCCGAAACACGGTCATCTCTACATCTTCTCCTTTCACATCCTATACTTGTTAGTTTTCATCTGCAAAACCATCAATGTACAGTACTTGGATGTCATCATTGATCAAATACCAAGAACTGAATCTGTGGTGACAAGGAAATTTTTTTCCATGAGAATCAGAATTTCAATTATTAACTAGAGGAAATAACATTACAAGATAAACCAAATAAGTTGGTTGAAAAAAGTACAAAAAAAACAAGTAAAAGAGAATTACAATAGAAGAAGAAACACAAGGATAATGCTCACTTCAAAATACTCTAAAAGACACCAGCAATTGCTGAAGTAAATCAAGTAACAAGGTTACAGTTAGAATCACTTGAAGGATGGTCTATTTCTTACATCTCAATATACAGATGTTGAATGTAGAACCTACTGTTTTTCTAACTTTCAACATTCAAGAGGAAAATGAACAACTTTATTTTTGTGTGGCTCATGTAAGACAGTACTATCATCTTAGTTTTGAGATAGAAGACATCGAAATGAGTTACAATAGAATAGTAGTCAATGGATAGAAGCAACATATGTTAAATCTTAATCTCTACAACCATGGTATGTGCATCTGTATTATTGTCAATTATTCCTAGAATCTCTAGTACAACACAACCAAATAAACTACAGATTCATAGATATATAGAAACTGATCCGAGATAAAGAGTTAAGAGTTTAGCAATTAACTGCATAATATGTCAAAGTATATCAACAGGAAGGTCTCTTGCCTAAGAAGAATAATAAACAATGAGTAAGGCTTGACCCGTGATGAAAATGATTAAAATAAGTATGAATATTTTCAGGGCAAAAATTATTGACAAACAATTCGACATGATCTCATGAAAAATATCTTGTCCGAGTAATTCTTTAAGGACCTTTGAGAATCAAATAGTATTGCATAATGGTATATCTCAGCCCAAAACAGAAGTAGCATTGTATATGTAAAAAAAAAATATCAAGAGATCAAGAAAGATCATCTCAAGTGCTTATTTAAATGTTAAATGGGATTAGCTAAGAAAACAAATCACGATGCAATAATGGTTGTCCTTTAAAGAAGATTTAAAAGTAAACTTGGATCAGAGTTCTGAAGCAAGGGATGATTAAAATTACAACAGAAAATAGCATCAAACATGTCAGTATTGAACAGTCCCAAGTTGGACAATGTCAAAGTCCCAACACAAAATAATAGAATTTCAGTTTTAAGATTTATGAGTAGAGATAGGATGCTGAAGTGTACTTACTTGAAAACTCAAAAGTGGGATAGTGTAACAACACGGATTTATACTCTGGATTTCATTTGCCATAAGTTCTTTTAGAAGAGGAACCATTGTTAATCGCCTGGCAGTTTAATTCGTTACGACAATAGCTCCATTTTTTATATCAAATTAGATCCAACAGAAACCAATACAATGAAAATATATTGAGAGGAAACTCAGAGTATTCAATAAGTAAAATAAAGTGATACTAGCAAAATATATAAAAGAATGCATATTAGAGATCACTAATCATGGGTATAGAGGCTGATCTACCTTGTGAGTAGAGGGGTTACCGGCACCTGATAGCCTCGGCAAAAACTGTGTATATATGTCTGCATATACATCCCGAAACTTTTATATAAATTAACTGTGCCCCCTGACATTCACAAAACATGTGAAGCTACGTTGGTCGAGCAGCCCGCTTTCACTCCTTCCGTACCTAGCCGTTCAATGTTCAAGACACAACTGTGACAGAGTTATACATTTTTTGTTTCTCTTTTTTCCTTTTTGAATTCAATGGTAATAATAGTTCTCTGTAACTTGCTAGTTAACTTCATATACGTTTTTCTTTTATCTTTTATGAATTCAACGTTAATTTAATATAATAGTAGTACACTTATTTAATTCTGTCTTTTACAAATCTCTCCCTCAAAATCCCGAAACCCAACTTCTGTCCAATCTCCACTATTGGAAAAAATGCACACTTTTGTGCATTTAACATTCACTTCGGAAAATTTACCTGAATCTGTTGACTTGGGACATAGACTGTTTTAAGATAGTGGTGCCCCCGATATGCTCAAATCCTAGGTCCACCTCTGCTTGGATAGCTTCTTATATTTACTAGTTGATGACTTTATTGCAGTGTTCTGAAGTCAGAAAAATAACAGAGAAGCCAAAAACTTTTCTTATGTCTCTAAACTCTAGTGCATAATAACCAGGATATATTTGAATAGATATTTTGATACCTACAATAACTTCAAGAGAAGTATCACCACCTTATTGATGCATAAAAGTCTGAAAATCTAGGTATATGCCAGATTGCCAATTATCAGGGAATTATTTGTAGCACATGTCACAAAAATATAAATAAAAAAATAAAGTTTAAAATAGGGTAGTGCAAATCATATCTAGTTAGTATGGGCCAAATATTACCAAGATTCAAGATCTAGTCTAAATTCAATTACTCATTACCTGGTAAAATAGTCGCCATGATTACATCACAAACTACGTAACTTTGAATGCAGATATATGAATGTAACTGGCTTTGACAGTTTAACAAATACCTAAAAAACAATAATGATCAAATTAGTTATCACATAACTGCGTAGAAATTTCTTGAGCTTTTTACATATGTAACAATGACAAAGAGAGAAAGCTTAAGGAAATTAGTAAACTTAACTGTGTGAGTCACCGTAGGGTTTCTCCTTGCAATTTGTTGTACTTAATTTTGGTTCCCCTTTTTACCTTAACAGATATACCTTACTCTTTGATCGCAACAAGGAGAAATCTATAGAGATAACTGTTTTGGTAGGGTGGAAGGAAAAGTAAAGTAAAATCCAGTGGTTGAGGGAATAGTTTGAAATTTTGATGGGGGCGAATGAAGTTAGGGAAGAAAGGGAAATGGAAAAATAAGAATTTGCTTTTGGAGGGAAGATGAAAAGTTAATGTTAGCCCTTTTTAGTTTTTACTGGCAGATTACTTTTAATTGCCGATAAAGATTAATTTCTTGTTGGGTAATGTATATTTGCCGGTAAATGTTTTAGTTCAGGTAGTAAATTACCGGTAATTAGTTTATTGCCGTTAAATAATTGCCGCTAAAAATCTTTTTTGTTGTAGTGACAAAGCTATAGGTGAGGTGGAGAGGTTCAAAGCCAGGTGATAATAGGTGAATTTGACTATAATCACGCACCAAATAATCACCTTCTTGTGAACTTTTAATGTGGAAAATGACAACAAAATGCTCTTATTAGTGCTTTACATGATTTGCAGGTGATATAGGTGTAAGGAAGGCTAACGAGCGGTTTTGGAGTCAACTATTGATGAAAAGAGGCTAATTGTTGAATTTCCCAAGTAACCCATTCAAAACAGGCCAAAATGCCCGGGTACGAGTTCCACCGCGGTTCTACCGCGACCGCGGTGAAACCGCGGTGGAAGGCAGTCTCTGAAGGTTGAAGATTCCGCGAGGGCGTTTGACCGCGGTTCTACCGCGACCGCGGTAGAACCGCGGTGGGCACAGTGAACTTCGGGGACTTAAGTGTAAAACACGGGATTTTTAGACCAAAACCCTATTTAAAACGCTAGACTTCGCCCAAGAGAGGCATGTATTGATTTTTTAGGTTTCTTAGCAAGGAAAACAATTGTGAGAAAGTACTCTAAACATCTTTCTTCTTTTCTTTTGATTTTATGATGAATTCAAGCGTAGTTTATTCTCCCATATCTATGAGTAGCTAAATTCCTTGTCTAAGGCTTTGATGGAACCTATTGGGTGATGAACTTCTTGTTTATGTGAATACAAATTGCAAGTTTAATCTTTATTTGTTCAACTTCGTGTTCGTTGTAGTTAATTGACAGGATCCTCAATTAGCTGTACCTATTTAGTGTGCATAACTTGGAAAAGAGTGCATATTTAGGATATTGTTGAACAACACCACTCATAGATTATTAGAGGAATCTATAATTGCGGGTTTAAAGGCGGGATTAGGAATAACGAAGCCTTGGGTGCAATCTAAAGTGAATTGTGATTAAATAAAGCAAGTTAGTGTATCTCGGGAGAGTGCAATAGTAGATTACTGTGATTACTCGGGAGAGATTTGCGGTAAGATTAGTGTTCATGATTGATAGAGATGTGTGGGTAAATTTGTATGAGCATAAACAGAAGGGATTCCATCAATAGGGGAAATCATTGCCTTAGCTTTTTCTCATAATTGTTTACAACCCTTCTAATTTAGTTATAGCCTTTTAGTTACTTGCAAGCTAGTTATTAAAGAACATTCAACTGAGAATTTGAATATTTGAGAAGCTGGTTCTGAAGACTTGGTGGGTCTGAAGGTAGCAGTTGATAGGTTAACTCTCCGTGGGATTCGATTCCGGACTTGTAAACCGGATTATATTTGCAGCGACCGCATTGTCCTTTTATACGGCATAGTTGGGCGTGATCAAATTTTGGCGCCGTTGCCGGGGAGTTAACGGAATTATCAACTGCCATTGACAGAAATACAAAGATTATTGTTGTATTCAATTTCTCTATACCAATTTTTTTTCATTGAAAATTTGACGGTTGTTGATCTGGGTGCACAGGTGCATGCCTAGAAATTCTACAAGGACTGGAGAACTGCTTGAAGGACTCTCAGACCCCGAGAAGACATTTCGGGCATTGAATCATGCAAACAAAAGACTTCAACAATCACAACAAATACACCAACTCGAAATTGACATGGGCGACGTGAACGACCCCAACGGGAACATCAGGGATGAGCAATTGGCACCTCCTGTGCCTGAGGGTGCACTTTATGACTGGGCACAACCAACAGCTGACAATCTGGCCACTGCCATTATTGTGCCTGCGATACAAGCTGAATCGTTCCAGATCACAAATAACATGCTACACTTGTTGCAGAACAAGGGACTTTTTTCTGGGACACAAACAGAAGACCCTCAGCAACACTTGAAGAACTTCCTGTCTATATGCAAAACTCAAAGGCAACCCAACGTGACTCCGGAAGCAATCAGGCTATTATTGTTTCCATTCTCGGTGACAGGAGCTGCTCAGGTTTGGCTAAACTCGCTTCCCATAAACTCTATAGCAACTTGGGATGAGTTGGTCAAGCAATTTCACAACAAGTTCCATCCTCCCAACAAGACTGCTCAACAAATTGATGACATTGTGAGTTTCAAACAGAAACCAATGGAGACACTACATGAGACATGGGGCAGGTTTAAAGGAATGTTGGTTATGTGTCCCCACCACGGTGTTCCAGAACAGATGTTGGGACAACGGTTTTACATGGGACTGTCTGACAGCATGAAGAATATTGTAGATGCCTCTGCGGGTGGGGCATTCTTGAGCAAGACTTGGAGAGAAGGTCAGAATTTGCTGGACAAAATGGCGCAGAATTCGGGATGGACAACTAGGAATGCACCTATCACTCCAGTGGTGCACTCAGTGCCTCTTGATCCTTCTAATACAATGGCTGAAAATATGGCGACTCTCTTGACGCAAATGAGCATCCTCACCAAAAAGGTGGAGGAATCAGGGCAGAAGCAGCAGGTACATATAGTAGATACTACCAATGGGGGCTTGTGCACATCTTGCATTAGCCAGCCAATTGGTAATCCTTGGAATGCAGAGCATGATCATCATCAGCAGCACCCTGAAGATATGAACTATGTGGCTAACTATGGGGGTCAGAGACAAGGAAATCAGAACTGGGGTCAGCAGACTCAGCAGCAGTACAGGCCACTCAGCCACAGTATAACGCGAAAACATGGGAGGCATGAGACTCCCCAAAACATGGCACCGTATCCTAGACCACAGGGGTACAACGAACTCAC